TAATTTAAATATATACACCTGACATCAGAACAGTTAAATATAAAAATACTGACAGGTCTGAAGGAAGAAATCTAATAGGAATACAGGAATAGTAGAGGAAAACCTCAATATCTCACTTAAAATAACGAATAGAAGATTCAGACAGAAAAATCAATAAAGAAACACTGACTTGAACAATACTATAGACCAAAAGAACCTAAAGATTGTATACAGAACTTTCCAGTCAATAGGAAAATAATACATTCTTCTCAAGCACACACAGAATATTTTCTAAGATAGATCACATGTTAGGTCATAAAACAAATCTGAACACATTCAATAAGATTGAAGTAATTCCAAGTTGTTTTTTCCAACCATAACAGAATGAAACTAGAAATCAGCAACAGTAAGAAACTGAATAACACACTTTTGATCAACTGTTGATTCAAAGAAGAAACTATAGAGAATTTAAAACTTACTTCAAGGCAAACAAAATGGAAACATAACACACCAAAACTCATAGAATACAGCAACAACAGTGCGAATAGGAAGGCTTATAGTGGTAAATATCTATGCTACAAAAAGAGAAATATCTCAGACAACCGTATTTCACATCTCAGCAAACTATGGGGAAAAAAGCTAAGCGAAGGAAAGAAATATGACTAGAGAAGAAATAAATCAAAGAGGAAATAGAAGAAATGAACAAAACTAAGCTGATTTTTTTTTGAGAGGTTTTTGCTATAGGGCGCGTGCGCTCGCCAGACAGAGAGAGAGAGAGAGACATAGAGATGGAAAGCGAGAAATCACCCCCCAGGGGGGATGACCACACCACAATCCCTTCTCCTCCATTCTCCTCTCAGGATCTTGGGCACGCATGCACATGCGCCCCGCATGAGTTTTAAGCCACCCGGTCTGGGACATGAACCGCGGTCGACTACGTGGGAGTCCAGCGACATAGCTGTTACACTAACTGCTGGTTCCCTAAGCTGATTTTTTGAAAAGATATACAAAACTGACAATCATTTGTTAGACTCACTAAGAAAAAGAATACTCACATAAAACTAGAAATGAAAGAGAAGCCATTACAATATGTACTTCATAAATAAAAATAATTACAAGTAAATATTAAGAATAATTTTAGGCCCTAATAAATTAAATGACCTAGAATAAACAGATACATTTCTAGACACACACAGCCTACCAAGACTGAATTAGGAAGAAACAGAAAGCTTGAACAGACCAGTAACAAATAGGAGATGAATCAGTAATCAAGACCCTTTCAACAAAGAAAGGCCCAAGACCCAGTGACTTCAGGAGTGAATTCTACCAAACGTTCCAAAAGAATAAATAACAATACTTCTTAAATGCTTCCAAAATAGAGAAAATAATTCTGAAATCATTTTATAAAGCCAGTATCACCCTGATTCTAAATGAGACAACAGCAAAAGGAAGAAAACAAAACAAAATTATAGCCACTATTCCTGAAGAACATAGATGTAAAAGTCCTCAATAAAATACTAGCAAACTGGATTTGACAGTGCATTAAAAGGATCACACATGATGCCCAAGTGGTATTTCTCCCTGGGATGCAAGGTTCAAGGTATGCAAATTAATGTGATACAAAACATTAACAAAAAGAAAGAAAAGAAATAGTTATCTCAATAGATGCAAAAAAAGAAAAAGCATTTAATAAAGTTCATAATTAAAACTGCCAACAAAATAGTAATAGAACCTTACTTCAACACAATAAAGACAATATATGAAAAGTCTACAGCTAACGTTATAATCAGTGGGAAATAACAGAAAACTTTCACTCTAAGTTTCAGTAACAGCCCTCTAAGATCAGGTAGGCAAGGATACCTACTCTTGCTACTTCTATTCAGCATAGTACCGAAAGTCCTAGCCAGAGCAATTAGATAAGAAAAATAAATAAAGGCATCTAAATTGCAGAGGAAGAAATAAAACCATCTCTGTTTATATCAACCACCTTAAAGCTTCAACAACAGTAACAACAAACATTAGAACTAATTTGCAATTCAGTATGTCACAGGGTACATAATGAACATAAAAATCAGTCACTGGGGTCCAGCAGCTGGCATAGTGGTTAGGATGTGGGACTTCCATATGGTCAACAGTGGTTTGACCTGCTGGCTTGCTTTCTCACTTTCTCTCTTTCTCTTGTGAGTGCATGTGCCTTATTTCAAATTTAAAAATAATAATAATAGATGAAATAAATAATTAAAAAAATCAGACATAATTCTACATTCAAAGAACTATCTAAAAAGCAAATTAAGAAGAAATCCCTTTGATAATTGCGACAAAAAGAAAATAGTAATAAATCAAAGAGGTCAAAAACATGTATGTTAAAAATTATAGGGTCAATAGTGAGGGAAATTAAAGAAAACACAGAAAAATAACAAGTTATTCCATATTCATGGATTGGAAGGATTAATATTGTTAAACTGTCTATATTACCCAAAGTGATTTATAGACTCAATGCAATCCTATAAAAAATTCCAGAGGTATTCTTTATAGAAATAGAAAATAATCCTACAATTTATAAAGGACCACAGAAGATTCTAAATAGTCAAAGCAATCTTGAGCAAGAAGAACAAAGATAGAGGCATCAATCTTGCTGATCAAAATATACTACAAAGCTGTGGTCATGAAAACAACATGGTACTGGCATAAAAACAGACGTTTAGACCAGTAGAGCAGAATACAGAGCCCCAAATAAATCCATGCATCTACAGTCAACTGATCTTTGACAAAGTTGTCAGGAATATACAATAAGGGAAAGCAGTCTCTTCGACACAAGGCATTGGGGAAATCGGATATTTACATCAGAATAAAACTGGACCCTCAACCGTATCATACACAAAAATGACCTTGAAGTAGACGAAAGATTTAAATTTGAGCTCTGTAATTCTAAACCTACTAGAAGAAAATATAGGCACAAAACTTTTTGACTTTGGCCTGGAAAATCATTTTTTGGATATGATGCCAAAAGCACAGGCAATAGAAGCAAAAATAAACAAGTAGGGTTGAATCAAACTGAAATGGCAGAACAAAACTAAACTAAACTAAACTAAACCATCTGCACAGCAAATAGAAATCAACAATGAAAGGGCAACCACTGGAGAGAATATTTGCAAACCATATATCTGATAAGTGGTTAATATCTAAAATCCATAAGGGACTCAGACAACCCACTAGCAAAAATATGTGATTAAAGAAATGGGAAAAGGACCCAACTACAGATTTTTAGTCATTCTAATGACTTTATGGAATATGGAAAAGTGTATACGGAAAGGTGCTCAAAATCACTGGCCATTAGAGGGAACCAGCAGTTAGCGTAATGGCTATGTCGCTGGACTCCCACATAGTCGACCACGGTTCGCGTCCCGGACCCGGTGGCTTAAAACTCACGCCGGGCGCGCATGCATGCGTGCCCAAGATCCCGAGAGGAGAGTGGAGGAGAAGGGATTATGGCGTGGCCATCCCCCCTGGGGGGTGATTTCTCGCTCTCTGTCTCTATGTCTCTCTCTGTCTGTCTGGCGGGCCCATGTGCCCTATAGTGAAACTCTCTCAAAAAAAAAAAAAAAAAAGAAAAATTACTGGCCATTAGAGAAAAACAAATCAAAACCACAATAATGTATCACCTCACACCTCTCATCTATTATCAAAAACACAGAAGGTAAGCGTTGGCAAGGAGTGGAGATCTTAGTTGGGGAATGCAAATTGGTACAGCTACATGGGAAGCTGTATGGAGGTTGCCCAACTAATTAAAAATAGAGCTACGTATGAACCAGTAATTCCACCTCTAGGCATATATCCAAAGGAAACAAAGAGATATCTTCATCCCTGTGTTTATTTCAGCATTATTCACAGTGTCCACAGAAGGGAAACAGCATAAATGTCTTCCAATAGATGAATGGATAAAGAAAACATGATATACATATGTATATGTGTGTATTTTGTGTGTATAGACACAATGGAATATTATTCAGGCTTAAAAAAGAGGGAGGTTTTGTCATTTGGGATAACATGGATGAAATGGGAGGACATTATACTCAGTGAAACAGCCCAGACATGAACACACACAAAAATATTGCATGATCTCACTTATATCAAGGATCTAAAACAGCACAATTCATAGCAGCAGAGTAGAATGGTGGTTGTCCGGGCTGCGGGAGGGGGATGTGTAGATGTCGGTCAAGGTGTACAGTGTTCCTATTATGCAAGACGGACACATTATGGAGATGTAAGAAGACGACGTGAGTGTAATTAACAATACCGTATTATATACTTGAAATTTGCTAAGGGAGTGGATCACGCAGACAACAAAATGGTAACTATGTGGAGTAATGAATATATTAGGCTGTCAGGAAAGTAGTGATGTATTTTTCTACGTTTTTCTATGCAAACATTCATCATGACTTTCCAGACAACCCAATACTGACCAGCTCGATTACGGTGATTACATCATGATGTTCACATATTTCCAAATGTGAAGTCATACACCATAAACACACACATTGTCAGTAATCCTCTGTAAAGATGTAAAATATTAAATGCAATGCACATAATTTACACCTATTACAAATAGAAAAATTGTGTCAAAGCCTACCTTTTATCTTATTAATTTATTTTTGATAGGTTTTTGCTATGGGGCACATGCTCTTGCCAGAAAGACAGAGAGAGACAGAGAGACAGAAAGTGAGAAATCACCCCCCAGGGGGGATGGCCACACCATAATTCCTTCTCCTCCATTATCCTCTCAGGATCTTGGGCACGCATGCACATGCGCCTGGCATGAGTTTAAGCCACCAGGTCCGGGACTCGAACTGCAGTCGACTACATGGGAGTCCAGTGACATAGCCCCAGTCAAAGACTATCTATTTAAGAATCTATGGTTTCAAGAAAACACTTGCACAGTAAAGTACTTTTCCATATATTTCATGAAATGGTTTATTCCATTTATTAGTAACAGTTCATTTTTTATATATTCATTTGCTCAAACTTAACAGTGGATAGGCAGTAAAAAATGGGGGTACTATTCCAAGTAGCCTCTAGAGTTCCTACCTGGAGGGCACTGGCATCCTATAACACCTCTCTCAGCTGCTAACATGCGTCTTAGAGGCAGAGCACAACTCGGATGCACCTGACGAGCCCTTTCTCGTATCCCGTATCCCGCCCACCAGTACCTGCTGCAGGGCCAGTGGAGTGGGATGCAGGAGGGACAGGCTGTCTCAGGAGCTCACAGTCGTGGGGCACGGTTAGGGCACAGTGGGATGTGGTCCCGGACAGGGAGGCATGAGTGGAATCCCACCCAGGCAGAGGGGAACGGACACTGCAAGTGCACTCAGACGGTGGCTCGCAGACTGCAGACTGGGCTAGGGCAGAGAGACGCTGGGAGCCACGGCAAGGGAGGGTCGGCAGCCTACCGCAATGCAGGGGGTGGGTTGGAATGACGTGAGATGAACGGAAGGCCGTGCCCTTTCTCATCTGCTAAACCCAAGACAAGACAGAGCGGCCCTCTTCTGCTCACCAGTTTGCATTATAGCAGTTTGCACTGCAGCACGTACCGAGGGCCACTGTACGCCATGATGGCTAGGGTGGTGTGAAGGTGTGCAGACAACACCCTGCCCTCGGACACCTGCAATCCAGTAAGGGCGCCAAAGCAAAGCCTCGAATACACTGAGAAACGGAATAGCACAGTTTTTCACAGTTACTTACCTCAAGAAACTACAAATCACAGTGAAAGGGGTGCTAATACTGCAGCGGATGGCGAGGTTGGCAGTCTTTCAAAATTAAGCATAGGACACTTGCATAAGCTACGTAATAGAATCACATCACAGGAGATCTCTGTATCTTTCACTTCCTGAATCTCCCTCAGTGCCATGCCGAAAGGTGCTTCGGAGTTCAACGCCAGCGCCGACTCGACGCCATCTTTATTATTATTGCCCCAAAGAAATTCAGCAGTTTCAGTGATTCTCACTGTATACCCGGTCTCCTTGACATAAAGAATATTTGTATCCATAATTCACAGACACTTACTTCATTCACTTAATGGGCCCGGAAGTTTTGTGACAGTTACGTTTCAGCAGGTGGGTTACATGATACGGAATCTCCAGCAACGGTTATTTGGCCAAGCCCAGTCTGGTAAGGACGCTCTCGTTTTCCATTGGTTTCACTTGCACCTTATAGCAGGAGGACATGGGTGCACGTACGCGAACCCCATTTCCACCCCCACACACTATTCCACGTTATCCTTCTGAGCGAAGCAGGGAGACACAGACAATATGTATGACCTTTTTTACTCACTTGAGCCGATACAACATTTAGGTATTCACATATCATTGAATTCATTTGGGTCTTTGAATACTTGGGCTTCGAACTCCAGCTGACTCTGTAAAATAAATGTTAAACTTAGCACAGACTTCCAAGGGAGGCGGGGCAACCCAAAATGTTGCACACGTCTCCTTAGTGTGCAGAGACAGAATCACAGAGGAAGAGCGAGTCTCGAGAACGCGATGTCCACGTTTGCACCCTCAGATTGCACCAGGGCTGTGTTCCAAGTGCAGAGCGTGGTCCCAGGACACAGCGGCTGACCAGACCCAAGACCCAGCCCTCCAGGAGCCTCCAGCCTAGGGCAGAGTCTGGCTGGGAGCTGGAGAGTGGGTCAGGGCTGCAGGTGGCCCAGCAGCAGTGGACGTGGGAAGTTCAGGAGGACACTGGGGCACGGATAGGCCACTGCAGGAAGCAGAAGAATGCTGGGAGCACAGAGCCAGACTGAGCCGCGGTAAGGAAGGGATGTGGGCCAGTGGAGCAAGAACCCAGAGTCATGGGCTTTGCTAGCCAGGAGGGCAGATTTGGGGGTGACAGTGGACACCTCTTTCAGGAAATCTGGCTGTAAGAAGGAAAGTCACTGGACAGGAAGGAACAGTATGGAATCAGTGTAACCTTCTTTACTTCCTTCCTTGATCTCTCAGATTGTTCTTCAAGTGGCAAAGTTCAGGATCTGTTAAGATTTTAATAGGAGGCTTTACTAGAGAGAGAAGAGGTAGGAGATGTGGGGGAAGGGTAATGGCAAATGATGAAATGTTCCTGAGGAGGTGGAAGGAGCCTGACCCAGAACTCTCCAGGCACTGCTGAGAGCCATCCGCCCACCAGGCAGTGGGCGCCCGCCACGTGCTGCACACAGAACACGCAGAAGTACGGCAGGATGTTCCTGACCTCGGGGAGCTCACAGCTGCATGGAGAGAGACAGTTAGTTATTAAACGTATTTTTGGCAGTGAAAAGAACTGCAAAGAAGAAAGCGGAGTTTAGCTGGTCCAGGGAATGGTCAAGAGGAGGCCCTGTGGGGACGTGGCCTTTGAGCAGAGATGGGGTGAAGTGAGAGGGTAGCCATGGGAAGGTCAAGGACAAGGACTTCTGGACAAATGCCAAGTGCCTACAAAGGCACAGAGAGAGGGACGGGGGACGGCTGGTGCGGCGCCTGCGGCGTGTGAGAGACAGCAGGGGTGTGACAGGAGAAGAGGAAGGGCCGCTGAGCTGCGGAGTCCGCTGCAGGGCTCTGAGCACAGGAAGGCAGGGCGGCATCGGCACTGTCAAATACTCTGCATGTTGTGGAGCGAGGTCGGGGGCGGTCACGGTGGGACCAAGGAAGCTTGTACTCTAGCCTGGGAGACAGTGGCGGCTTGATGTCGGCCAGAGGCCAACAGCTGTGTGCAGGGGTTTTATTCAAGGATCTCTTTTAGAGGAGTCGTCAGTAGTGCTGTAACAGAGACATGAAGAAAAAGCTCCTTGAGTTGTTGAGAATGCCTGTGTGGGTATGTTAAGTTGCCAACTAAAAATACAAACTAGAGCAGGGGGCATTTATCTACTGATTGATTTAAAAGGATTAATGTGTTGTCACATTATTATTATTGGTTTTTCGTTTGTTATAGGCACCTGCACTCACCAGAGAAAGACAGAGAGGGAGAGCTGGGACGTGAACTGTGGTCGGCCATGGAGGGGCCCAGCACCTTAACCACCACGTCACTTGCTGGCTCCAGTCGTGGTATTGATACACCACAGCACTCCACCTTCTTAAAGTCCTCCAGGGAATCCTCAGCACATGCAGATCAAACCCACGCTGCACAGGACTTGGTCCCTCGTGTCTCTTGCCCACCCTCGTCTGGCACCCCCTTTCTCTATTTTGTGCATGCAACATTCCTCCTGCTTAGGTTGCTCTTCCCATTTCCTCCTGGGGATTCTGTCCTTCAAAACCTAATTCTGGAGCAAATGTGGGCAAGCTTCGTGAAGTCCGTGCCCCGCTGTGTCCTCATCCGTACGATGAAGATAATAATACGGCCCACTTCATAGGGCTGCTGGGGAGGTTAAACAAGGCAATGAGGCGCACAGTGCTTACGACATTGCCTGGAGCGGATGAAACGCCGTGCCCGCCATGAACTATTATTATAATAATACTTATCACACTGTTGTGTAATTGTTTTCATGTTGGCTTTTCCCAGGAAAACAGGAGCCCCAAGTGCAGCCACTGAGCCTTTCATCTGTGCTTCTTGCCCACATTAAGCCTCATTAATTGCTCCCAGCATGAGTGAGTGAGTTCGTGAGTGGAAGAAGCCGCCTGGGTTATAGCAGTACCATGGGATGAGCTGGCAGGCTCTTCGGTGGGGCTTCTGGGTTTAGAGCATTGTCTGTGGGGGAACATGACTTCTTGGATCCACCTACCAATATAACGTTGGCTGGATGAGCGGGTTCTGGTTCAGAGATGGCAGTATCATTACCTTTGGATCTGGTAGACACGGTCCAAAAGCTTCCAGCAAAAGAGTCTCTTCTCTCACGGCCTGCTCATAGTCTGCAAAGGACAGCTTCCCATCGTGGTCACAGTCCTGGGGAGACAGCAGCGTGGTCACCGTGGAGAGCCTGACCACAAGTACATGCTCCTGCTATGCTCAAGGGTGAGTCGGTGCCCAGGAGAGTAGGTGGAGAAGGTGAAACGAACTTTTAATATTGCAATAAAGAGCACAGTGCAATTGTTCTACTGACCCAGCTAGGAGACTGGAAATGACCAGTCTGAATTCTCATTTCTACTCCCTATCTGACATGCTCATTTCACTATGAAACGCTGGACTACTCAGAATTACCATTTTCTTAAGTGTGATTTCAACCAAATCTTTAATTCCTTCATCGGGGTCTTCCTCAGAGGGCTGTTTGAGAAGGCTGTTCTTCAGCATGTGGAACATCTCCTCCTTTGAGATGAATCCATCACCATTCAGATCAAACACTTCAAAGCAATCTTAAAAAAAAAAAAAAAAAAAATTGTTTAGAGCATTGTCTGTGGGGGAACATGACTTCTTGGATCCACCTACCAATATAACGTTGGCTGGATGAGCGGGTTCTGGTTCAGAGATGGCAGTATCATTACCTTTGGATCTGGTAGACACGGTCCAAAAGCTTCCAGCAAAAGAGTCTCTTCTCTCACGGCCTGCTCATAGTCTGCAAAGGACAGCTTCCCATCGTGGTCACAGTCCTGGGGAGACAGCAGCGTGGTCACCGTGGAGAGCCTGACCACAAGTACATGCTCCTGCTATGCTCAAGGGTGAGTCGGTGCCCAGGAGAGTAGGTGGAGAAGGTGAAACGAACTTTTAATATTGCAATAAAGAGCACAGTGCAATTGTTCTACTGACCCAGCTAGGAGACTGGAAATGACCAGTCTGAATTCTCATTTCTACTCCCTATCTGACATGCTCATTTCACTATGAAACGCTGGACTACTCAGAATTACCATTTTCTTAAGTGTGATTTCAACCAAATCTTTAATTCCTTCATCGGGGTCTTCCTCAGAGGGCTGTTTGAGAAGGCTGTTCTTCAGCATGTGGAACATCTCCTCCTTTGAGATGAATCCATCACCATTCAGATCAAACACTTCAAAGCAATCTTAAAAAAAAAAAAAAAAAAGAATTGTGAATCTGAAGCCAGGAGTCAGGTGACATGTTCTCTGATACAGCTGCAGCCCAAAGGTCTGTCTCGGGGCTCTCTTGACCCCAGCGCCTTGGTGCAAGCTGAACTCCACAGCACACACTGGGGTACCGTAACTGAATTACAGTCAGCCAGCCTCAGAACGTCTGCGTACGCTCAGATACAGGAAAGAACGGTGAGGGACAAGCTGGATGTTTTCATCTTGAAACGCTTAGAAAACTGACCGACATAGGACCCTTAAACAGAGTCCACCAGAATGAACTGGGAATTATTTAAGAGTCAGCACCCTGGAATCAATGTTACGGTCAAGGACTGGGAGATGTAAAATACTTACTCTACAAGTGCACATGCACACAATTAGCACGCGTAGCACTCTCCCCACGCAGTCCGCCTGGGCGCGAATTACTCCTCATGATTTTCTGTTCATTATACTTTTTCATTGCAATTGACCTGAATTCACTTTATCAAAGAGGCTAATTGGGTTTCAAACCAACCAGCCAGCCCACAAACAAGCCCACGTCACCAGCATGTCGGAGGATACTGACGGAAACACTGCAGACACGTGACTCGTGCGTGCACACCGACAGGACCCAGTGCGCTTACATTTCATTTTCTCTTCCAAAGATCCTCGAAGAAACAGCGACAATCCATGAACCCACTCTGACACATTCACGCAGCCGTCATTGTCTTTATCGAAACCTCTGAATACTGATGAGAGAGGGCACAGAGTCATGCTGGGCTGAACCTTGATTCTCAGCAGTTATTTACATCGACATTACTCGCTTTGGAAATTCAGAGAAAACCGCTGGCCCTCGTGCTCCCAAGTTTCATTTGCGAAGGAGAAAATGAACAAATCATGATCAGAAAACATGATTTGACCATTAAAACTTTCTCTGTATATTTTGTGGAAACAAAAACCATTCTGAATATGTAAATATTAATCACTCCTTAATCAACAGTCATGCATTAACTGATCACGTATTGATTAGTAATAAACATGTTGCTGTATTGAGTATGCTAGCTAGGTTAAGAAGATATGTTAAATATATCAATAGAACAGACGCAGTTTGAGGGGCCAGCAGGTGTTCTGGTGGATAAGGCGGCTAGACCTGCCATGGCTTACCGTGTGGATTGACTCCCACACCTGGTGGCTTGAAAAACACGCTGGGCGTGTGTGCATGCGTGTCTGAAATTCTAAAAGGAGGAATGGAAGAGTCGGGATTGAGGCCTGGCCACGCCCCGTGCTGAGTGCTTCCTCACGCCCCCTCATCTCTCCAGTGAATGTATGTGCCCTCTAGCAAATTTTTTCAAAAAAATAATTTTATGGTTTGATTATTAATGAGATACAATGCTAGTGCATGATAGATAGGATGGTACCTTTGTTTTTATTGAAATTTTCTAGATGTGAGGAAATCTAAGTGTTCTTTCAAAACTATTCTATTTATGGGACCAGCAGTTAGCGTAATGGCTATGTCGCTGGACTCCTACGCAGTCGATCGCGGTTCGTGTCTTGGACCCAGTGGCTTGAAACTCACACCGGGCGCGTATGCGTGCGTGCCCAAGATCCCGAGAGGAGAATGGAGGAGAAGGGATTGCGGCGTGACCATCCCCCCCTGGGGGGTGATTTTTCGCTTTCCGTCTCTCTCTGTCTTTCTGGCAAGTGTACGCACCTATAGCAAAAACCTCTCCAAAAAAAAGAAAAAAAAGAAACTATTCTATTTATTAGTGTGTTTACTAAGTAGCAGCAGAAGTGGTTTGAGTTTTCTGATATGAAGTAAGGGCAACTTCATTTCTCAGTCCAACTTTGTACTCTGCATAAATACACAATCAGAGAGAATATTACCTCTCTATGGTTTGTGCAAAGTTACGATTTTACACTTGCATGAAGTTGGGAATGCAGAGCAGGAAACGGCCCCCAAGAGCAGGCCCGCATTCCAAGCCGTTTTCTTGTTTTCCAGTGAGGGCTGGCTTCGGCTAACGTGAACCGTGCCTGTCTCACCTCTGTCCATGATCATGTCGTCCGTCATTCCAAACGTCATGTGCAGGATGTTCCGGAATGCGTTACGATCCAGCCCAGCGACCACACCTTGCCGCTCTGCGACCTCTCCCACCAAGTTGTAAAACAGCTTTATAAGACAGTTCACTTCAAATTTATTAACTGTGAAAGAACACAACTAATATATAACATAAATGCATTTTACTATTAAGTTCTAACTTAAATTTTGCATTAGAGTTGGCAGACAAACATCTTAGACGCCAAATATATAGTTGTCAATTGACGACTCCCCCGTTTTGAGATTCGCGACCTTTAAGTTCACAGGAGATGGCCAGAGCTCCATTACAGAGGAGATGGAAAGAAGGGCCTCCCCACCAGCAGGTGAGTACTGTCAGGCCAGTCAGGGTCAGGGAACGAGAAGACAGCGCCAGCCAAGTGCCCTGAGCGCTAACTGCGGAGTCGCATTCTCTTACAGCGCTGGTACAGACACGATGCAAAATCACATCGGCAGCCTCTTCTCCAGTGCGGGGGTACAGCCTTGTGAGACTTACACCTTAGCTTTCCCCTGGAAATGGAAACCAGGCTCCTGAGAACCAGGTACCGATTGGCACTGGTATTCCAGTCCCCGTTTGAGGTATGCAAACGGGCTACCCCTGGCATTCACAAGGTAAAAGCAAGTCTAAACGTAAAGTATGGGCAGAAGATGGGGACAATTTTATTTCAAAACCAGATGAAATTATGGTTGAATACTTTTTAAAAAACAAGACAGGGCACGCAAGTGTGAAAAGAGAAGCTAGCACATAGGAATGGAGAAATCACCCTCCGTCCTACAGGTCAACTCAGGCTTAGCACAACTTTCAGTTCTGAGACCACATTTTAAGAGAGACATTAAAAATTATGGGAAATGCCCGTGCCAGGGCTGCGACCGGCGGCGGGACCTGCGTGGGCCCTCCCGGGCTCAGCGCGTCCCCCCGGGGCCCCGCGCCAAGGTGGCGGCAGGTGCCCCCCCCCTCGCTCTCCGGGGCAGTCATGTGGCCTCTGGGCCAGCAAGCTGAAGCCGAAAACAAGGATTAAGAACTTACAACTATAAGCAACAGAAAGAATCTTTAGCTGTCTTAAACCAATTGAGAAATATACTGTATAGAAGGATTTTCTCTACCTATGGACAGTGAGAAGATGAAGGTTACCAGCCCTGCATTGCCTCAGGGAAGAACAGGAACTACTCTACCATTCTTAGGGAAGCCAGATACCCGAGGATAA